CCCCCCCCCCCCTATTCCTACATTATTCAAATTTTCCTTCCTTAAATATTTGTAGCTTCTATTTCCTATATCAAACTCCTTGTACCTGTTATTGTATATGTCTAACTGTGAGCTTAACTTACTACCTTTCCATTGTCTTTGTGCATACCTTTCTCTTTTAATTATTTTTTTCCTCCAAATTTAAATAAGATTCTATCTGTAATTCTATACATTAAATATATTAAATATATGACAACGATAATATGACATGTTAATGATAATTTATGACAATAATAATTTTCTGTGAAAATTATTTGAAATACTGTTCATCAATAAATTTTTGCACACAAGTACAATGTATCTAAAAAATAGTTATATATTATATTTGTTATTATCTATTAATTATTATCTTATAATTAATATATGTATCTAATGTATCTGATATTGTAGATTTATTATTGAGGACCATGTAAGACAATTGAGTGATCAGTGCTTGACAAAGATCGATAAACAGAAAGTATCTACTGATGCAAATGTAGAAGATACAGAAGCATCATGGGACCAAGTACCTGCTAAGAAAGCCAAATTGGAAGACAAGAGAGAGAAGCTCAGAGGACAAAATAAAGCGAGGCCACCTCCATTTAAAGTTTCCAAGGAATTGAGTCTATGTCCATGGATCGCGGATCAAACTGCAAATGAATTGGAGAGAAAATGCTCGAATCAGCGCTGTACTTTTCTACATGATCGAAAGGAGTATCTGAAGATCAGGCCAGAAGACATAGGTACAGAGTGCTATATTTTTAATTTGACTGGTAAGTGCCCGAGAGGAACCACTTGTAGAATGGGCTCAGGACACTTGACTGAAGATGGCTTCAACATTATTGACAAAAAGAAACTCGAGGAATACAGCAAATTTCCACCAGCTGTCAAAAATTATTTATCCAAGGACTTGCAAAACAAATTGCGCAAGCACAAGTATAATTTTTCCAGGGCAGAGGCAATCGTCAAAGCCAACGGTCCATCTATGAAAAAAACGCAATTGCAGAGTTTGAATAGTAAAAGAGAGGATAAAAATGATACAAAATCAGATGTCACGATTAATATTTCTGACAATAGCAATGGCGAGAAAATGGCAAAACATATTTCTGATAACGCAAATGACGAGAAAATGGAAAGAGATGCTTCTAATTGCAATATCACGTATAAATCAGAGGAATTGAAAATCGGACCCGTGGACGACAGCGATTTGATCCGATTGCGACAATCAGAGAAAAAGACAATCGATTGGAACGGCAAGATACTACTAAGTCCTCTGACTACGGTAGGCAATCTGCCATTTCGAAGGATTTGCAAGGAATATGGTGCGGATATAACCTGCGGCGAGATGGCATTAGCACCGAATATACTGAAAGGTACGCAGGAGGAATGGGCGTTGGTGAAACGACACGAGAGCGAGGATATCTTCGGCGTGCAGCTCTGTGGCAATAATCCGGGAGTGCTGGCACGATGTGCACAATTGCTGAACCATGAGATCGATGCGGACTACATAGATTTGAATCTTGGGTGTCCGATCGATATGATTTATAAAAACGGAGGCGGCAGCGGTATGCTCAATCGATTGAACGTACTTGAGACCGTGATAAAGTCTGTTAGCCAGGTGTTGGACATACCCTTATCCGTTAAGACCAGAACTGGGGTCTACATAGATAAACCGATTGCACATAATCTAATGCCGAGGTTTCGAGACTGGGGTGTATCCATGATTACCGTGAGTAAGTCTGTTAAATTTATGTTTTTTGTTAATGAATCAGTCTCTTTTAAAAGACCGATTGTGGTATTTCCAAAGAATTGAATTTATCAAGAGAAAGAAAAGAATGTTCTCTCTTCAAAATATCTTAATAACTTTAAGAATTCACAATAAGTTAAGATCGCTATATAAAGAAATCAAATAAATGAAAAAGAACCAAACAATCTAAATATTGGTATTTACTTAATATTTATACGTAAATTTTAAATACATTGTACAGTTATATAAACTGCGCGCCAATTACTCTCGGGCTTGAAATGCAATTATAAACTGAAATAATATCATAAATTAAATTGATCGTCAATGTAATAACACTTATCAATGTAATTGCAAAAAACTTACTGTGAAAAATATTAGTCAGAATTATAATACCACATTATGATTATTGTTATTTAAAAATTCAGTTTTGCATATGCTACATCTTTAAATTATAACGGAAAATTCACGTTATATTAATCATAGAAATATTAAAAAAAAAAATTATTCCTGGGAAAAATAAAAAGATGTTAGTAGGGTGTTTATTACTTGGGAAAACTGGACTTTTTACACGATTTTTTTTTATTTTTAAAAATCTGGAATTTTCATGGAATTTTATTGATATTTAAGAAAATTTTTGGAATTTTATTTTTACATTTAAATTGTGTTTCTTTCCGAAAATTATTATTCCTCTTATTTTTTTTTCTTGCAAAATGTTGACAATCGATTTGCAATGTACGGTCCGTGTATATTCACATATATTTTTGTGTATCTTGCGAGTTTTTATTAAAAAAAAATCAAGGTAGCAATAGAACGTTGTTTACACTCCAATTTATTCCAAAATTGTATTAAAAAATTCTCTAATCTTATCTAGGATTTTGAATAAAAAAACCTGAACAATTCGAGAGAATTCTCAAGAAATTTTTTTTACAAGATTTTGGTAAACATCCTGCGTTAGAGAAATACGATCTTTCTGTATTATATTGTCTAACTCTTATTCAGTTTGATAATTCTTTCAGGTTCACGGCAGATCGCGTGAGCAGAGATATACGAAGCTGGCCGATTGGGAGTATATAGAAAAATGTGCGATGGTAGCGCAGCCGATACCCGTGTTCGGAAACGGCGATATCTTGTCCTTTGATGACTATCATCGCGCAAAAGAGATCTATAGTACTGTGCAGGGCATCACCATTGGACGAGGAGCGCTAATCAAGCCTTGGATTTTTACCGAGATAAAAGAGAAAAAGTTGATCGACATATCGAGCGTGGAAAGATTCGACATTCTCAAGAAATATGCGAATTACGGGCTCGAGCACTGGGGATCTGACACCCGCGGCGTTGAAAATACCAGGAGATTTATGCTGGAATGGATCTCCTTCCTTCACAGGCAAGTTTACCTTGAGAAGAATGTGTTTCTCTCGATTAAAGCATTATATTATTCTTCAATATGGATTTACATTGAGCTATATTGCAGATATATTCCTGTTGGAATTTTGGAGAGACCACCACAGCGGATTAACGAAAGACCACCGTTTTACAGAGGTCGCAATGATATGGAAACACTGATGGCTAGTTCCAACTGCGCCGATTGGGTGAAATTATCGTAAGATTATTAGCTCGATCCATTCATTGAACAGTGTCAGTTTCGATTATATCCATTAATGATCTTGTTTATTTTTAGTGAGATGTTACTTGGGAAAGTGCCTGATGGATTTCGTTTTTTACCAAAGCACAAGGCGAACTCGTGGAAATAATCTACTGCAGGAAGAATAGTTTTATAGAGAAGTATTTCTCGAGGTGACTAATATAATATTTATATTCTTCTACATTGTTGATTATTCGCAATAAACGCGATACATAAAAGAGAAGAATTAATCATGGCAAAATTTGTTACGTTCTTTCATTTGCGTTTATATATACATATATAATACAATGAATAAATATTTTTATGAAAGACACTGTTAAGATGTTTAGAGAGTTTCGCGATATATATATTTGCACTATTTAATGACACATTAACTTTGCTAACATACAACTTGACTAAATCAATTGTGTTCATTTATCTCGACAAGGTTAGTGACCGGCCACATGCAATCACAACCACTAGCGATTTCCTTTGTATATGGTTGCCAACATTCACTATCCCAACGTCGTCTGGCTAAAGATAAAAGCCGACTTCTTTGCACGCACTGGAATGCCGGATAAACACATTTCTAGAAAAACAAAATGTTAAATCTGAAGTCAAAACTTTGTTAAATAAAAAAAACGTTTTCTTATTTTTTCCTAAACTAAACTTAAAATCGATTCAACGAAAATCTAACTTATCAGATTAATTATTTCTTGGAAATTATCTTGCAACGCTAAACATTTATAAATTTACTTTTAATTGACCCATATTTTTTGCTCAATAAAAACCATCATTTTGAATTTCATTGAATCTTTTCATCTATTTCACTGTATGACGTGTAAGTTTACTTGTTCCAATGGTTTCATTATTCGTTCGTCTTCGCTCAACATCAAATAGCCCTCACAGTAGACCTCATAATAATGCGGGGGTTGATAGTCGTAATCGTCATCGAGAAGCTCCACTTTTTTCGTTATTGTTTCGCAAAGATTGCGATATTCCTGCATAAATCGCAAAAGAAATAGACATTTATCTCAATACAAATAGTGATATGTACAGGATGTTCAGCGTAACGGTCCACACGATTTTTCCAACAACTAAAAAAAGATTGAAGGGTAAGTATTTCTTTGTTTTATATAGACTACAACATGCGATAAAAAAATTAAAAAAAATTTTTTTTCATAAGAAAATCAAAGTCATTTAAAATTTTTTAAATAGCACTATACGATTTTTTTTCCATAATATTATAGGAGTCTTCAAGACGAATTCAAATCACTGTCGAAATATCACTTTTATTGATGTTTTATTAATTTTATTGAATATATTTTATTAAATATAATTAGTACATGTATGTATATATATATATATATATATATATATATATATATGTATAATCTGTATCTAATCAGAGGTTGTATTAAGTACTGCTGTTACAAATAATGTTACAAATTTAATATTAAATATCAATAAAATCAACAAAACGTCAATAAAAGTGACATTTCGGTGATTTGAATTTGTCTTGAAGACTCCTACAATATTATAAAAAAAAAATTGTATGGTGCTATTTAAAAAATTCAGGATGACTGATTTTTTCTGAAAAAAATTCTTTTTAATTCTTTTCGCATGTTGTAGCTTATATAAAACAGACGAGTATTCATCTTTTTACTTTTTTTTTAACTGTCGGAATTATCTGAAAAATCGTGCTGAACACCCTGTATAGTATAAATATATGAATATTAAATAATACAAATACAATTTAAATCAAGAATGAACTTGCGAAAAATAGATGAATTAAAAGAATTTGACAGGAACTTATCCTAGCTGATTTAATTCCTTGTTTTAATAAAGCTTTTTTAAAAATATTTTTTAACATTTTTTTTAATGGCGAAAATTCGATTGGAAACACTAGTGCGCACTGATTCATATTAAAGCCGTACCCTGATTTGAGTAGAAAAATGAAAAAACGCAAATATTTCGAATTATGAAATATATATTTTACTTAATAGTACAGTAAAATGTATTGAGTATTTCACAATTTAATCGATTTCTATGTTTATTTATATCTTTACGTTATTTTGTGTACGTCGGCTTTAATGTGTTAGAAGCAAGAAAATACACAATAAAAATTTTTGCAAAATATATCAATATAGAAATATGCATTTCAATAAAACAACACGATCAATAGAACCAACTAGAAAATATATCGAAATCTTTTTGTTTCATTTATTAATAAATAACTATATATTTGGAAATGAATTATGTATATTATGACGCATTATATATGTATATATATCTAAAACCAAAAATAAAATAAGCTGTATTCACAACTATGACAAACTCAAATTAATAATATAATTTTTTAAACAAAGAAGACTGTTTCAGTATATTTTAAGAAAATTTTCGGTATGTTTTATAAGTTTATTCTGTTATAATTGCACATGTTATTCTATTGAAAGATATTTCTATTTAGATATAATTTACAAGAATTTTTATGTATTTTCTCGCTTCTGGCGTCACATTCTGAGATAGTAGTGGTGAGTGAACTTTAGTGAGGAATAATCCTTTTCAGAAATAAGAAAAAATTTACTAACGTGCATATTTCTGCTATCTCTGTTCAGCTGCTGTAGTCCCCTTGCCGCAATTTTCGCGTCATAATATTCCTCCAGCGGATAAGACATATCTCTTATTACCGGTATTTCACGTAGATAATTAAGCTTAGAACCAAAGCTGTTCCTAAATAACTGAGTACGATTCAATGGTTTGCTCAACACGTAGAACACATAGTTGAGGATAAAAAATTCAGCAATCTGCAAACGAAATGTACAACTTCCTTATAAACGAACGAACAAAAAGTGTAATGAGAAAAATTCCAAATTTCTTTACTATGATATAACACACATGATTGAACACACATAGCAGATAAAAGATTGTATTTTAATTTTATGCAAATAATCACAATCAGTTAAAAAAATTGTTCCAGAGTGACGCGCTGAATTATCTCCAATTTTGATCAGACTGAAATTGATTTCCCAGTAGAAGAATCCCAAGAATTTTAATTGGCATTATGCGAGTCATGCATGCGCGCATATCCGATTATTCTTTTATGAATGACACCGAATATAATCAAGTCAATGCCTCTTAAATATAACATTGCGTCACTGATAGAGCCTAAACCTTCGATGGAGGTCTCAGTCAGCAGCCTTTAGCGACCCATCAAACCTGATGATGCGTAAATCGCACGCGCGGAGGGTCGACGCCGCAAGTGGGAATTGGAGGTAGGATGAATCATTCGTTTAGAGTATTTGCAACTGACGAAATGATTTCACGCCATTTATCATATCGATGAAATACGATATGCATATTTGACGTATTTCTAATTTCTTTCATCTGTACATCCTTAATTCTATTCTTGCTTTTTCTCCTCTAGAGAAAAGTTACTCCCAATCTTGCCTTTTATGTTGCGAAGAATAAAGGACATCTCTATATCTCATTTAAATTTTCAACATTTCCTAATTATAAAATGTTCCGATAACACATATTTTGATTTTATTTACGTAGAGACCGCTTTAAAAGATCATTCACTCAGAGAAAAAGACATAATGATAGTAACTATAACGGTGATAACTATACAAGTTTTATCAACTATTTCACTACATCATGAAATTGTTTATTCGACTACGATAATGATAACATTAATTCACCATAAAACTTTAGCTATCATTAGAAATTATTATTAGTAAAACTAATTGCTATCTTTAGAATTATCATCACTATATTTTTCTCGAAGTGTTGGGGAAGATTTTATCGTTTGGAATAGGATTAGATTAGTTTTAAAGCAAAGAAGATCTAAATAAAATTTTTGGCGAATTTATGATCTTTACAAAAATTTATGGATAATTATAGATTTTTAAAATCGATGGAATATTTAACATGATATGAGAATGAAGTAAAAAAAAATGATTTTGCACGATAAACATGGCATATTAACAAAAATTGGAATTTATCTATAGGCTTTCTCGCGAAGATCGGTATTAGTTGGTTTGCAAGGTCGGCGTGATTGAGCCGATGTGCTGTATGATACGGATTATTCTTCCCGCGTCATCAGTTAATTCATGCTACCGAAATGACGACAGAATATACGCACGAGATAATGCGATCTTCCAGCTCCGTAGTATTTACTTCGATTCCAAGTAACGTCAGAGGCAATAAATACAATAAATGCAACAGCAAGTAATCGGATGATGAATTGACAATAGATCTCTTTAAAAATAAGAAATAAGAATGAGAATTGGCAGGACTTTCAAATCGAATTTAAATCGATCGTCTTTTCCATATGGAACGTTAGACGGAGTCTTTCTCGGTCGCTCTATGCGACAGTAGAACTAGAACGAAAAGGGAAATGGAAAAAAGAAAAGTGGAAGGCCAAGAGAAGATGCAATGTATTGTATCTCAAAGGAACAAGTACTCGTAAAAGAAGAAGAAGAAGAAGATCAAGTGATCTAGAAGAAGTGGGAGAACATGGACTACGTGCAGGCTTTCAGCATCAACGATACGAAACGTTGCATTACGCGCACATACATGCGACAATACTGTGCCAATGTGGGGTAAGTAGTTATCCAATTGACAGTGCCCCGTCTGACATAGTTCAGTCACGAGGCGGGCACAGGATGATCCTATATCTCCGTTAACGGAGCGACAGTCGTTCCCTCGAAATTGCGCTCGCCACGCGACGTTCCATACGCTCTTTTCTGCTCTTTTTCCCGAAATCGCGCCGACGCGACGCGACGCGACGCGACGCGACTTCGTCTTTGATGACGGAATTTTCGCGTTACAGTTAAATAGACGAGGATATACATACGTACGTATGATACGTATACATATATATATAAGAGCCGGCAATATCGTGTATTGTGATATATGAGAATAATGTCAATAATACGAGCGTGTTTAGACCGAAGAGATTGGTGTTTCTTTCACGATGAGAATGATCCCGGTCAAGGTTGACAATTGTCAGTGACAAAATTTCGAAGAATCCTTGCCGAATACGGTTGATCGTTGCTTTTCCACGAAGTAAAAGGAACACGAAGGGAGGGAGGAATAAACAAGATCGACGAGATCTCAGCTCATAACATTCCTCGGGGCATCCCACGAAGATCGGGATGCCATCGGATTGACACCGGTACCATGGCAGCGGATCTCTATGCGAATGGCTCTTTAAAGTCAACGTCCGCCAGGTAAGATCAATCAGAAATCGATTATACTTCCGTACTTTTATCTTATCGATGAAGCATGTATATTTTAAACCAGATTTTCTCAAAAGATAAGACTGACGCAATAATGAATGATCCTTAAATTTCTTTTAGAAATATATTGGGATGCAATGGTATAATGAGAATCAGATGCATTTTTAACGATAAATTAATAATTTTTGAATCTTTAAATATAGATATAGCTAAACTCGCCAATGACATATTAATATTTATTTGTTGAAGGAAAGAATTTATAGACATTTTAATCGGTTTGAGCAAAGATGATGAAATCATTCGTGACATGATGATTCGTATTCTCAGCATAAATGTGGCCATCTACTTTTGAATTTTATCTGCCTATCAAGATGGCATTCACAAATGTTAACGTGACACGAGAATCAGATAGCCGCGTTGAATAGGACCCCAATCCAATAGGATTCCAAGGTTTATTTGTTTAATTCGGCGAGTAGATATATTTAATATCACGAAAAATCGAATAGATAATTTTAGATAAATATGAGATGCTTATCGTAATATGTAAATAAATCGAGAGAGAGAGAGAGGGGGGGGGGGGGGGGAGAGGAAAAAGTACAATATCATAAATTTTAAAAGCGCGTTTGTCTCTCTCTTTCTTCTTAATACAAAAAGTTAATTTCTATTAATTTTACATTCAAATTATAATTTATTCGATACTCTACTATTAAAATTAATAAAAATCAATTGTATAGAATGTTTCTACAAAAAATATTTAAAATATATAAATAATTCAAAATAACACATACAGAGAGTGAGAGAGAGAGAGAGAAAAGAAAAATACAAAAAGTTAATTTTTATTAATTTTTTAATTAAAATTTTGTTTTTATTTTATTAAAATCTCTGTTTTTTATACTTTACTGCTAAAACTGAGCACTTAATTGATAAATCAATTTCGAATGTTTTTACAAGGGAAGCAGCACGTAAAATATGTAATTCGTGTATTCTTTAATATAACCATGATTCTGCAATGTACACGTGATGACACCGTAATTTTGAGTAATGTATACGATGACGTATCTAATGATACACCGAATGCAGCTGTACAGCATTGAGTGACTGCTGATGCAGTGTTGTTTAGATTCCAACATCATTTCCAAGCGTGTTTGATCTAATTTCATAAGCTGACGTATAAATGTGACCGCCAAATTACCTTGTTTCCGGCGACTCGTTTACGATTTAAGGCGACTGTAAAAAAGACACATGGCGAGCGACGTTTACGAAGTGTGATGTTTACAAGGTACTTTCCAGAATGTGCCCGAAGGAAGTAAAACGTTTCTTCTGACTCGCGATCACGACGTTTAAATTGTAAAAGAAATTCACCCATAACGACGACGGCAATGGATCAATCTATACGTATGATTAAGCAATCGAATGTATGTTTGTTTCCGGATAAACGCGACCGTTTTCGTTTTTTGCAAACCATTTCAATGACAATGAAATCGTTTAATAGCCGCTATGGCTCTTTGAGTTAATAAGCAATTGACCCTCGCGCGCGCGGGCTTGTCGAGTAAAGGTTCCATTGATGAAGAGCATTATTAAGTGAACTCAAACTCTCAATTCTTCGAAAATCCCAGCGCAATTATTCTTAATTATTATATACTTGCCGTAGGACTATCCAATTAATCATTCTTCCTAACATCTTAAAATGGATCTAAATATGTCATTGGTTTAAAAAAAAAAATTGAATATTGCTTCTTCGTAAGATATCTATTCAAAGCGAATCCAAGCAGAGAGAACAACAGGTCACGACAACATCAATGTGACATTGAAATTAATTGTAATTGATCGAAAAATGACTTTTGATCATTATTTTGGAGCTCTATTGACGTCATCTCAATCAACACCAACTAAAAGTATCATAACATTAATGTTATAATTTCGTGCTCTACTGTAATTGTAAAAGTGACCTTACACGATCAATAACACTGATCAGTAATATGGAATCATTAATACTGACAGCATATATTAATATTTTTATTATCTTTATAACCTTACACATCAGTATTATTGACAATATATTTCATTTTAGTTTTACGTACATTATCTATTGTACTTATGACAGTGCGACATGGATCCTAATAAAGTGATATTGACACTCGAGAATCAAAATCCAGATCATCAGTATTCTACATCAATTCAACAATATTAACCACAATAAGTATCTGTGAATATTGTCAGTATTTGTTAATACTGACAGTATTATTGACCGTGTAGAGACACATCTTCACCATGTGTTACATTATATTTATATTATATTGTTGAGTGTGAAATTATAACATTGACGTTATATTATTTTAAGTTTGTGTTTACTGGTGTTACGATGATTTTTTACTCTGTTTGGGAACCGTCAAAGGTGCAAATTATACAAGTTAATAAACGTCCATTTGGACGTAAACCATTTGGGAAGTGTTCACCAAACCGTCAATTTATAATTCCCTCATTCGTGAATATTTATAAACAAACAATTTAATGAACGTTAATTGCAGAGTGAAAGGCAAAGATAAAAATCGGTAGACATGTGCAATTGTAAATAGAACATCACACATTTGGATATACACAGAATAATCACACTGGCACGCAGTGAAGTCAAGAAAGCTTAAATTACAGATCAGTATTTAAAGAATATAAATTTTTCTAAGAAACATGCGGTCATTTACCGTCCAATTCCACTCGAACTGTGATCAATTGTTATCACTATATATAATAAAGCATACATGTCTCTCTCAATGTAAATAGCAAGTATTAAATTATGACCAGAAACGAAAAATCATAATTTATTGTGTAACACACACACACACGCATGAGGCATTCTCTGTCAAACTGAACACTCCTCTGTCTAAAATTCAGTTCATCCAAAAAATTTCTTTCTGGACTCAAATTGTAGGTACACATGTCTATTTTCTTTGGCACTCTGATCTTTTTGGAAATCCAATATGGTGAATCTAACATAATGGCTATAGTTGACGAAGTACTGATTGAGAAGAAAAGTGTTATGAATATTTTAAAATTTCAAGTTGATTAAATTAAAACTGTACGAGTTATCATGCGATAAATGCAAAAAAATGCGATTTATGCATTTTTCTCAAAAGTATCAGTCTTGACAGTATCAGTGCGCTTCTCGCATTGATGAAGTGAAAGGCGAGGTTCGCGAAACGTTGGCATTAGCAATGAAGCACAACACAGCGATAACCTGCAAACCTTTTGACATCTCTGAACACTTTTCTTTCTTGGCTGACGTTTATGAAATTGGACGAACCTTGGCCCATTTGAGTAATAATTTAAGCATTCTCAATTGGTACTTCGTAAACAATAGTGGTCATGTTAGGCCCTTCGTATTGAATTTATAAAAAGGCTAGAGTGCTAAAGAAAGTAGTTGATATGTGTACCTATAATTTGAGCCCAGAAAGAAATTTTTTGGCTAATAAACTAAATTTTAGACAGAGGGGGTGTTCAATTTAACAAAGAATGCCCCATATATATATCTCGAAATGTCTTTTAGATGAAAGAACCGTCAAGAATTAAAAAAAAAGGTAAAAATTCGTGTATCTCCAAAATTTTTTAGATTCGCATTCCATTTTACGTGCCATATTGGGGAATTGTCAAGGCTAAAATGATCTATATTATAGTCAACAAATTAAAACAGCGATACTACAGTAGTCACAATTCCGTCTAGTGACGGTGATCGGGTAGCTACTACATTTGTTTGTTCAATTGTACACGCGCTGACTAAGATCGATGCAAAGTCAATTCAATAAATCTACATGTCGTTAGAAATACCGTAACAGTGACAGTCCATTAATTTGTATGAAGCGGCAAGTTATGTCGATGCGACTTTACATAGAATAATAAGATTTTTATTAAGACCGACGTGAAATTAAATACTAAGTATAAGCATATTCAAGCTTGTAACGGTCAAAGCTAGATCTTCTCAATGCCTAAATAATTCACGGTGAATTATCTATATCCTCTATATGTACATGCATATATACCATATTTTTGTAGTTATTCAAATTGTGCGCCGAAATTTTTCCGGACTTTTTCAAACGCAATTAAACTACTGCAATAATATCACAAGTTAAATTAAATTGACAAGCAAATTTTCAATCTTCGAGATCCGATATCATATTATAAGGATGTTAATGTGCTGAAAACCTTAAATAAATTTTTATTGCAAAAAATATTACCTCGGCCGGGACCGAGATTGAGAATTTGCTTGTTAATTTAATTTAACGCGCAGTTTGAATAACTACAAAAAAAAAAGGTTAACATGCATGTACATATATATATTGGATATAGATAATTCACTGTGAATTATTTAGGCATTGAGAAGATCTAGCTTTGATCGTTTAGTTATAGACTTGAATGTGCTTATACTTAGTATTTGCATAGAATGTTACAGAATGCACTAAAAACACATAGAAAAATGTTGTGTCGAGCAGATCTAAAAATAATTTCTCCACGTGGTTTCTCGACGACGGCGAGCAAACGTGAGCATTCACCCGAAGATGCCCGAAGATTGTCTCGTTGGACACAGTGTTTAAAGTCTAGAAAATGTGTGGAATCTGCGAAAGAAGAGAAAACAATTAAAAAGAAAGATAAAAATATATAGAAGTCTCCCTTTGTTCAGCTTCACAAAATTTGAAATTGTTTAGAGAGAAGGTAATTCCATATTAATCATTACAATTATTACGATCAAAATGGGATAAAATACATTAATTTTGTTTCTTCCTTGAACAAGATACCAACGAACGTTAGAGATGGAAAATTGTCGAGGTAGAGGAAAACGTTAAATGCAAAAATGAGTAAAGTAGATTGGCAGAGCGCTCGCGTTCGCGTGACGCGATATGAGGCGGAGGAAATGATGGAATGATGAAAACTTGAAGAGTGTATCGTGGCCACGCGTAAACTGAACGTAGGCAGCAGATGACGCGGCGACATACGTTCGTTGGTCCGAATTAATTAAATTAAAATCGCAATTCTAGCCCGGCTGCGAGTTAAACTTTTAACCCAAATATTAGAAGAATCCCGTTATCCGAGAGATAATGAATGAAGCATGGAACGATGAGTAATTATCTATCTTCTCGCCAGATTTATTCAAAAAATTTATAGACTGTATATGTACTCTACGTACACTATAATTTGAACGGGGGGAAGAAACTAACTTCTTAACTCATCCCTATACATCGAATAATAGAAATAAAAAATCCAGAAGGGAATTGAAAACAAATTAATATTATATGAAAAACGGCTCAAATGAATAACAATTCAATTAAAAATATGTAATTTAGAATGGCTGTCCGAGCCTAGCAAGTTGACATGCGCTAATATTTTAAGGACGATTAGTCATAGTGTAAGTAGAACTTACGCACAGATAATTTATATGTCATTGATACATCGCTACATCAATATCTCATTCACACATGCCACACATATGCATAAATTTTCTGTAAGTGTAATTCTGTATACGTTCACTGAAGAGAACCGTTAATAAAGGTCAAAATTTGTTTTTATTATTTATACGATAAGATTAAAATATTAGCGCACATCAACTTGCTAGACTCGGACAGCCCCCTTCTAAATTACATATTTTGGAATTGAAAACATTTATACAAAAAATAAAAGAGAATAAAGTGAAATGTTAAAACAAGTAATTCAAGATATATTATAATTAAGGATGTAACTTTTAATTTCACGAAAAAATTATGAATTAAAGAATTACAGATTTTTCTATTATATTTGAAAGTAATACAAAAAGTTTGATGGCGATTTAGAGAACCTGGATCCATAATTATTTCAATAAGAAGTAGATATAAAATGAGAAAAATTTTATTTAAACTATAAAATTATATTGTTAAATATTTAAATATTGACTTTATTAAATTTCCGATTCCAATTACTTTGTATAGATTATACTGATTCTTAATAATGGAGAAGTGGAAAAATGTCTATCAGCTATTTAAGAATTCTTTGAAAATAAAATCTTTTATTTTGGATTAGCTCTTTAAATAAAACGAGGCTGAACGTGAGAAAAGAAGTGTTAATGACTACATGCTAAAATAAGATATTGTGATCTGCTTAGGGTGATACTTTAAAACGTCATAGTCGTGTCATTTTCGCACGAGCCTTTCGTGTTTGAAGAGATAATTAGACCATTACTTTGGGATAAGACCGTTATAGACTTGTTAATCGTAATCAGGTGATGTCTGAAGCTGACAGGACAGATTCTTGTTGATGGGGTACAACCGGTGGATGATGTCACGCGGTGCGTTAAAATTGGATCGAATAATTTCGAAAACTATGCAGATTCAGAAGTTAAAATTACATTCTTAGAAAAATCCAATTTAATATTAAAAATTACTTTTTTTCAGTATTAAAAGCATTAAAGAATAAGTGCTTTTATTACTTAAAATAAGCAATTAATCACTATTTTTCAGTTTTATTTTTAATTTCTGTAAAGATTTTCAGCATGTATAATCAACTACTGCGACTTTAGAGAATTCTTTAAATAAAGTAGTCAATTCTAAGCAATCGTAAGGCTTGTTCTCGTAAAACTTCTTTGTAAAAACTTATGTCTGGAATGCTTGTAACTGTAGGATGCAGTATTTTTACAAACAGCTTCTTGCTAGTCATAAGAAATCGTCGATTTACGTATAAGCGTACACCTTATGATACGCATATGAATTACAACTTTCAGTTATACGTTCTTAGAAGTCTTATACGAGAACCAGTTACAAGCCTTACGTTTCTGCTTAAAATTGATCCATATGTCTTAAAATTATTATTGAGTATTTTATATCTTTTTTCTCCGTGAAATCTGAGATCGAATCCAATTGACTGTTTAGTTATATGGAATTACAGATAGACTGACAAACATGCGTGCTGAGAACAAGACGCATTTGTTAATTCGAATCCGTTCTCATGATTTATACGGTTCTTCCCGTATATCAAGGCCGAGAGCAGGATAAGAAGATTGTCAAAAGGAAGCAGGATCGTTCTAATAAGTACATGCCTGCGACAAAGCGCGAACGCCATCAGATTATTTTTAGCCAGCGGAATAGGGTCTATCCCCTTCGCCATGGCTAAAAATAGCTGGTAAGGCCAATCCAGGTCCAATTATCCCATCTAGATATTTAGGTGACAATCGACTGACCGCCAATTTAGAAATATTCCACTGGACTCGAAGTGCGAATATTCACGCATCACGCGTGTTAAAGTTCATGCTTCTTTGTAAAAAAAAAAAATCTTCCGGTTCTCCGCAGAATCAATAAAATCACTGGAGAAAACATTTGTTCGAACTTTGTGTGTAAATAACTTGAGATAATTTAACTTATTATTCAAACAATAGAGTTAAAAGGCTTTGAACCAACTTGGGTTTTAATGCTAGTTAAGTAATAAACACTGTTACAAAAGGGTTTTAATAAATAATGGAAGCATTACAACGATATAAAATATGACAATGAGGATCGAACCGTTTATTATATTTTATATTGTTGTAACATTAACTAGTATTAAACGTAGCTTTGCTCAAAGCTTTTCATTCTATTGTTTGAATAATAAGTAAACTAGACCGTAATGTGAATATAAATGTGAATACAAATAAGCAAAAAGCGCGTTAAATATACGATCGAAGCTGGATTTTCATGTTTAAAAATATTTCTGTGTAAATCTTAAATACGTAAATCTTTCAGTTAGATAAAACTACCTGTTGATTATTATCGGACTCAAAACGCAAATTGAAATTGAAACTGAAATAATAATATATCAAATTAAATTGATCGTCAATTTAATAATGATGCTAATGAGTATCTTAACATTTGATTAAACTTAGAACTAAAATAAAAGCAACATCGGAGAGCATTGCGCGCACTCTCAAGATATGCGTAAATCATTAACTGTCAATTCAGTTTTTCAACTACAGAGAAGACGAAATTACTACAGAAGAAAAGCCGTTAACGGCTTTCAAATTTCTAGATAGCAAACATTACATAAATATTCTACAAATATTTATGAAGAATATCCATATAGTCTATGTACTAAAGGTATTAAAAACTGTTATGTTCATGGCATATTCATAGTTTATTCGAATGACATAAATATAAATATTGCGTAAACATGCGTAGAATATTTTGTACAATGTTCTATAGAATATGCTGTTAATTTTTATATTCTATGAATGTTTTTTTTGTTACACTGAGAAAAAAATTGTTCATTTAATTAAATAATTTTTAAAAGGTAGTTCGTCTTTATTTCTTTTATTGGAGAACGTATTTAAGTTGAATATAATATGTTTAATTTAATACATTCTTCACCGAAAGAAATAAAGACAAACTAAATTAATTTAGTCAAATGAACAATTTTTTTCTCAGTATATAAATATGGATATCTAAGTAGAATATCTTATGTATATTTAAAGAACATTCAATTTAAATATTCCAAAATTAAGAACATTTGTTTTTTAGCAATAAGTAAATGTTAATATAGCTCATAATATGTAATGCAATATGTAGAAATTAAGCTAACAACGAGAAAATTCAAGATATAACATGTCAGATAATTTATCAATATGACAATTTTTACTAACAAAGCTGATAAGAACATTGTACTCTTTATTAGTAAAAATTTCCACATTAATTACTTGATACCTTGCAATATTAATTTGCTCATTGTTGGTCTTATTTCTGCATAGTAATCAACAACTGTCTAAACATGTAGTGTCTTTATCTAAAGGACGTTCTGGGAACATTCTGGGAATGTCTTAAAGTTTTTCTTAAAGGTCTGTGCTGTATTCTAAATTTCTTGGAGTAAATTCTCATTCTAAAAGAATGAAAATACTGCCACTATTAAAAAAAAGTGAAAATATTTGCATTCTTAAATAAGAGTGACACGATTTTCATTCTTGCGGAGTGTGATTTCATTTTTTTGGAGTGAGATTCTTTTAAAAGGAGAGAGATTCTTTCATTCCTTTGGAGTGAACTTCATTAAAAAAAAAAAAAAAAAATGAAAATCTGCCACTCTTATTAAAGAGTGTAAATATTTTCACTTTTTTTTCAATAGTTTTTTTCAGTACTTTTACTCTTTTGAAGTAAGATCTCATCACTTCAAGAAATTTAAAATGATGAATATGGTCCTTCAAGGCATCAAGTACTCTTCGTCTCCTACGATACGCAACCCGCCTAACGAGTGTGTGTATTGTTTTGCAGGGCCGTAGGCAGCATGGGACAACGTAAATCGGGCGCCCCGGGCGCCGCGGCGCCGATATCGACGGAGGAAGAGCAGCTGAAGTTTCAAGACAACAGATTTCTAGCGACTTTGGTGCTTGGCAGAAGTAGGTGAGTGACCGAGCGTGACTGACTGACTGACTGACTGACTGGCTGCCTGCCTGCCTGCCTGCCTGCCTGCCTGCCTATACCACTATATCTACCTACCCGACGTCTTAGTAAGACGGTCTTACTACGTCACTACGTCAGAAATCGTAAGGCACGTGATCGGTGTACGCGACCCACATCGAAACCCTGGGATTCGATTGCGCACCGACTATTGTTGCAAAGTCGAGTGCGAATCTCGTCCGATCGATCGCGACGGGAAATAATTGAAAAAAGTGGTCGAGCGCCGCGGCGAGTGCCCGTTTTCGTGATTTCTTTCTTGGCCATTACCGAAGCCGTATATTTTTGGCGAACCCCACCGAAGAGTGTGAGTAAACGCCTGTTTTTACGTTTGTAAACATTGAATGTTTGCAGAGATTTGAACTAGTGACGATCCAACGCGGCGCGTAAACAGCCGTAGCTATCGTTGCATATCTAATTGTGATGCTGCAAATAAGATTTAAATCCTCGTACGACTTGAAATTAAGACCAGAGGTAAATTCTTGTTAAGCACAAACTAACAGTAACACTACACCAAATTATTGTATAATTTCCCATTTAACAGTACAAATGTAACATGACACATGGTGTATTGCGTCGGAACAAAAGTTCGTAGAACTTCAAAATTCAATCAATTGTAACTTTGTTAAAAAGGAATGAAATTTCAATTTAAAGAAAGGGCTTTTAAATCTCTACTTTCAAAAGGTCAGTAGTCAGCTTTGAGTTTCTGCTAGTTTGGTAATTGTTACTTATAGAAAACCACAAGCCGGACAAAGTGGAAAATTTTCTTCTCATTTCGTGAACTTGTCACGTGCTCAAAAAGTCTTGCGAAAATTTTCGACTTTCTAACAAGAAAGCTTAAAGTTCTCCCTAAAAAAATCGTTTTTTACAAAAATGTTCTTAAAATTTTCGTTATTAAATTATTTTCGATTAAGGGAAAGGAACATTTTGACAACAATATAATCGTATCGACTTACAGAATATATCGATTGGTTAAAAAAGGAGCATTAAAGCCTACACTGGTTCTTAGTGCGATAACATTTTTTTTTTAAGTGATTACTTTAATCTCATAAATGATACAAAACAAACGTTTCGACCTTCAATTAGGTCATCTTCAGTATGTACAAGTTTCAAATTTCTTTAATTCTCGTTTACAAACTAATTTACCATAAAAAAAACCTGGTTTTCTTAACAGAATTTAATGTCATTCATTCATTCATTAATCATGTCAAACATTTTGACATTTTTGACAGTGATCTCTTTTGCACCAAGCAATTCGGAAAACAAATTCCTAAAGCTGAAACTGCTCAATCGACTGATATAATTATCAACTTTTTTTGAACATGTAGTACAAATGAAGTAATGCTATGAACTTTTGTTCCGATCTAATATCTATATAACAATTACATTGTTGAGTGGGAAATTACAATATCATAAATCGTAGGTAATCGAAGTAGCAAGATGAGGACACGTAAAATCTCAGTAAACAGAACGTCTGTGATGACATTTTGACGTTAAAATGATAACAAACGTCAATTTGCGGGAAATGTTACTGCTTGCGTTCAGCAAGTTGTTACCCGCTGCTCGAAACTTACTATCAGGATATTCATTTTTTCGGAACCTGACCCAGTACACGGATGTGATGGTTTTTAAAAAGTGCTGCAGACGAAGTAAACAAAACACTGAATCGCTTAACGAATGGTCAGTTATATATATATATATATATATTTGCGGAGGAGAAACAGCACACCTGTCGCTCTCGTACGCGATAAAGGTCATCACGAAATCTCGATGCAAATAACGAGTAACGATAACATTCCGTAGGTAGACGTAATTTAATTTAATTTTCTAATCGCGCGCTATGGGATTCATTAATTGCAAAAAATTGGTATCGTCGTATCGATAAAACACGGAATCCTCGACTTGTCGCGTCTGTCGATTAGAGATAATGACAGTTCTAGGTACACAAAGATTAACCCGTTCCAGAAAGAGATGGTCACGAACGGGAAATCACAAAACTGGCTTTTGAATTGATATCGTCCCCCTTATGTCGTCCACCTCTGAAACGTGACATCAAAGGTGTTGATTTTGACAATTAATTTAATTTAATGAGTGGATAGTTTATTACTTCAATTAATTTAATTTGATTTATTACGTGTGAACAAATTTTACATGAAAGTTACGTGAAAATGAAAAGAATGCTTACTAAATATCTTATATTAAATATAAAAAACAAAAGAGAAAAAGAAAATAATAATTACTACTGTCATATCGCTCCTTTGCTACGACTACAATCTACAAAAGATTGAAAAGATTAAGTAAATAAAATGTCCTAAGACCGCAAATGTGAATACACAAGAGAAGCCCCAACGATTTAAGCTGGATCTTTGTGCTTAAATATATATTTATATACATATCCAGTTCTAAAAAAATATAGTTTTTCAGAAAACATTTCAATATTTTGAATCATTAAAATTTTACAATATTAATCTTAAAATACAATTTTAGTGTAATAATTGATTAAAGAATAAAGTACGTTCTTTTAAAGTATATTCTTTCGTTTTCGCTTTATATTTCCGTTCTTTTTCTGCAAGCAATTAAAAAATGATAATTTTTTTTAGTTAGATCGTCGTAGCAAATGAACGATAATATGCCGTGACCATTTTTTTACACGGATAATTTTAGTAAAGGCAGATTTCTGGTAATTCGTTGAATGTTGTACTGCGGATATTTATGATCGGTGGTGGGAACAGCTTTATCTTTCGGGCCAATTAAAGCGATCGGCGTCACTGATTGCCGCTTACACTACTTAACAATTAGAAGCACCACCTCAAGACGATTGTAGCAAGAATGTGATGGATGGGTCTACGATTAATTTGTTGTGCATATAGGCCGACCGCGCGCGGTTCGTCATCACTCTGCTATTTTGAGAAATGTTAATCGTTTCAATGAATCGAGATGCGGGTTAGTTATCGGTGGACGCAATTTCTTTTTTGATGGAACTGCGTCTTAATATAGGAAATTAGAATAAGAGTGTATCTTCATCAAACGCAACTCTCGAGATTTTATTTTAAACAGTTTTCTCTTTGCTTCTTTCCTCTTTTCTTTTAATATCAGGTCGCCTATTCTTTGTAGCTAAACTAATGTACATACACTTGATTTAAAATAATGGAATAAGTATATGTATACACTATTTGACAAAAAAGTCAGGCACAAGTCTAGACGTTGCGATCATTTTCATACAGCTACGTCGCAGTCGGAAAAGAAATATAATAAAATATTTTTTCATTGAATACTTTACAAATTATACAGGTCAACGCTGGAAACGCTCTGTTTGACTATGTATAATATACATAATACTCGTACCATATTTTCGTTCATTTTTGTATTGTTAAAAAATACGACTCTAGGCCTTTTGTAAACAAAAATGAAAGAAATCTCTACGTAGTCTTTTATCATTAAACACGTTCTTAAAGACAAAACAAACTAGCCTGTTCGACAAGTGCAGTCAAGTTAAATATAAATGATTGAATTCTCAGGTAAAAATCAATTGTGTTCGATTGCCCAATAAGCAGGCTAGAGGTACAATACTTTTTTCGCAATCATTCGAGGATTGTTTTATTTCAATGTAATTTTTTAATGTATTTTTCATTATTATACTTATTTTATTTTTTATGAAGAAAAATATGTATATAAGAGAAATAAAATAAATCTCCGAACGGTCGTGAAAAAGTAAGTTGTATTTTCTGCTTTATCAAAAATAGGTGCTTTCCATTTGGTGACCCAAGTGTCCTATCTTTATCATTCTTTAAATGTGAAGAAAAAAAAGATAGCGTTTGTTTGTATCGACTTGTGTCACTAATGTTCATTTCTTCTAAAATAGATTAACTTTATAATCTCTCGGTTTAATTTACCCTTCATCTAATTATTAAAACTAGGAAAAGACAAAAAGTAAGGGGTAAATCGAGATTATATAAAATTAATCTAGAATATAGATAGAAATAGATATAAATGGAAAGCAGTGAGGAAAGTCGATTCTGAGAGGTTCAATTGATAGTCGAATTCGCAGAAATAATTTTTTTTTAATCAAATTGCGTATCTCCTTCCAGGAGGATCTCGCCAGACGTGCTGCCG